GGGGTAGGGTGAACATAAAGGTGGGGGGATCAGTTTCAGACCCTTGTAATAACCCAGAGAGTTATGATATGTGTTTGAGCCTGGGCAGGAGTTGTAGATATAAAAGAGAACAGAGATACCTGAGATACTAAGATAGAAACAGTATGACTTGATCTATTTATTACGTGGTGGAACCCAGGTTTCTGGCTTGGCTAAGTGGCTGAATAGCTGGTAGCGCCAGTCACCAGGATCAGGAGCCACAAGAGAAAAGGCAAGTAAGGGAGTATAATTCGTTCATTTAGAAGAAATTGAGCTAGGCATGGTGAATAACACCTGTAATCTCAGCATTTTGGGAGTCCGAGGTAGGAGATCAGGGCTATGAAACCAGTCTGGGAAACATATAGAAACCTTTCTACCAAAAAAAAAAAAAAAAAAAGAGCTAGGCATGATAATGTATGCTTCTAGTCCTAGCTACTTGGGAGGCAGAGGTTAGAAGATTGCTTGAACACAGGGGTTTGAGGCTGCAGTGGGCTATGATGGTGTCACTACACTTCAGCCTGGCAACAGAGCAAGACTGTAAATAAATACACAGAAGCAATTGAACTTGAGGAGCCTGTGAAATTCTACCCAAAAGTCGATTAAACATACAGATCTGCAGCTCAGGTCTCCAGCCTGCACTGGAGTTACAGATCTGAGATGGTAGTATATGTCATAGGATAGAGTCTGGAGAGAGGAGAAAGGAAATAAAGGGAAGAACCCTGGGAATAAGCCCCAACATTTGGGAATAGGCCCCTGTAGTAAACCAGCTGAGAGACTGAGGAGCCAGAGAGCTTAGAAAAAGGTGAGAAAAGAGCAGGTCCCCAGGCACCAATGGAGGAGAGCCTTGGAAGACTCTGGAGAGGGTGAGAGTGCCATGTGCCACTGAGCTGAGTAATCTGTGAGTGGAAAAACATGCAAGGAAGTGGGGAGCTTAATATTTATTCATGACCTTTGCCATGACAGTTTCAAGGGAGAAACTGGGGTGGAAGCCAGACATTAGGGAGTTGAGGAGGGAGTGGGAAGTGGGGACTTAAAATGAAGACAGCTGATAAGGCACTTAGCTGATTAAAGAAGGTGAGAGAAATAGAAATAGGGGACAGAATTTGGGGGAAGCTTTTGTTAGAACATATGTAGTTCTAATAATACCGTGTCTGGCCAGGCGCATTGGCTCACGCACTTTGGGAGACTGAGGTGGGCAGATTGCTTGAGCCAAGGAGTTCAAGACCAGCCTGGGCAACATGGCGAAACCTACGTATTTTTGCTAAAAATACAAAAAATTATCCAGGCATAGTGGCACATGCCTGTAGTCCCAGCTACTCAGGAGACTGAGATGGATTACCTGAACCTGGGAGGTTGAGGCTGCAGTGGGCCATGATCACACCGCCGCACTCCAGCCTGGGTGATAAGAGTGAGACTCTACCTCAAAATAATAATAATAATACTGTGTCATGGGATTCAAGTCTCCATAAAAGTCAATTGATATTCTCTTTTAAAAACCTTTTAGTTAGCCAGGAGTGGCGGCTCACACCTGTAATCCCAGGACTTTGGGAGGCTGAGGCAGGTGGATCACTTGAGGTCAGGAGTTCAAGACCAACCTGGCCAATGTGGTGAAATCCTGTCTCTAATTAAGAAAAAAAAAAAAAAGGAAAAAAAAAATTGGAGTTAATAAACCCCAAACCCAAGGTAACCATCTGGTAAATGAACCGTCTGTGCTTTCCTAGCTCCTTTGGGATTTTGGAGCACCCTGAAGGGTTGCAATAGCTCCATCCATAGCCTACCAACCACCATTGTGTTGTCCCTTTCTTCTTGCTAACAGAACCCAATGTTGTTGATGTGGCCATTTGCCCAGCACCATGGTATGAGCTATGGTTGTTCTAAGATAAGCAACACAATGTGTTTTTCTTTGCCAGTGACTGGTCTAGGGGGTGTGCGACCCAGTCCTAGTCAATGGGATGTTGGAGGACGTTTTCCGAGGTCTTCTCGAAAAGATTCCTCCCTCTTCTCCCCATCACTTAATTCTCCCATTATAAAAAGAGAGAGAAATGAAGAGAAAGACTTTTTTCACCTACCCCTTTCCATTCTGTTTAGGGCATAAAAGTAACTGTAAAGAAATTCAACAAAGTCATTTTTCCAACAATGATCCCTTTGATGTAGTCTTAGAGAAATCAATTTTCAAATTATTTCAGAAGCAAGTTTTTCAGTGCTCTTGTTTTGCGGGTATTCTAAGCAGACATTTATTTAGTTTATTAGACAACACTGACCTTAAGCAAATTTCTTAACTTGTATGAGCCTCAGTTTCCTCCTTGATAACCTGGGGCATGAGAATAGCTACCACATGGGCCTATTGTGGGAACTGAGATGGGACGTGCAAAGTGCCTAGTATAGCAATGATAGTGCTCGGCTCCTTCTTTCCTGTGGGTTCTTTACATACATTGTCACCCCCCAATCATACACTGTCACTAGGAGAGCCTAGGAATGGCCAGGGGTATGGGTAAATTACTGACAGCCAGTGCCCTCCCCAGGGGACCCTAGAAACTGGGATCCCACTTTCCACAGCTGCAGGTCACCCATTGGCTGCCAGATCCATGCCAGTTTTCTTCAAGTTCAGCTGCAGCCTGCTGACTTGGGCACTTCCACCCACGACCTGCTTGGCTGACCACGTGCCCCAGATGGTTCCAAATGGTCAACCTTTTGAGCCCACAGACACGGTGCCCAGACCTTGTGTCCCCTTTCTGCACCAGTGCCCATGGTGCCCAGTTTCTCTAGCCCTTGCGAGGCTGTTCCTAGCTTCTGGCCCTGCCTGCTGCCTGGTCAGCAGAAATCTCCTGGGCCACACCCTAGACCTGTGTTACAGCAGGTGCAGACGGTCAATCCCACTCAGTGACGAATAAGCCACAAAATAAACCTTGTGTCCTGAAGGCAACACCTACCTAATCTATACCCTTAGCTACTTTGCTATCCCATGGGGGAAGAGGGCAGGTGCCTCTGTCTGACGTCTGTGTCTCTTTCACCCTCAGCTTAGAGACACGGTGCGAGTAATGAGAGTTTGTGCTGGGGCTAAGACAACAACAAAAATCCCAGCTTCAGCACTTTATTACAGTGCGGAATTACTTAATACAACAAGCGGTTTAACCCTTTCAATCATAATAACAACAGTAACAATAGCACCTAATATTTATTGGTTGTGTGTTTGTCGGCTAAATGCTTTGAGAGGCATTCTCTCAATCCTCTCTGTTACTATGAGAGAGGTTTCATTATTCACTCCACTTTAAAGAGGACACAGAGCGTTAAGTAACTTGCCCAAAGTCACTATTGCTGAGTAGAGGAGCTAGATTTGTCTGATTCTGGAACCCAGACTGTCTGGGACTCAACTTCCTCTTCTGTAAAATGTGGACAGTAAAAATGACTTGACAGGACTGAGCAAGAATAAGAGATACCACTTCTAGAGGGTCCCTACTAGATGCTCAGCAATGCTAACTCCCCTGGCTATCTTAAAGGAATCAACATAAGCCATTGGGACATTGGCTGTCAGTAAAGATTTGTCCCCATGGCAGACATTTCCCAAGATGAACTGATTTGCAGTGGGAGCTGCAGCTGATGCCTGGAAGCCCCTCATCAGCCCTTCTGAGAGAGATCCTGCGGGTGCCCATTCCTCTTCAACTTAGGACGTGGAACATGCAGACACCAGCCTGCACCTGAGAAAAATGTCTGTCAGAAACATGCCTTCTCTGAGACAACAATTATTATTAATGGGGCAGGACACAGACTCTTTAGCCAGGTCTATGGGGAGGAGGGGAATGTAGATCCCAGTTGTATGTGAAGCTCCTCGAGTTGACTCAAGTGTATCATTTAGAACTGCACAGAAACGTTACTTTTTTTTTCAAGAAAACCTCAAAATTACTGAAATGAAACTTCTTTCTTTCTAAAATGTGAGAGTAAAGTGCTGCCAGCCCGACCTCCACTCTTGTTTTCCTCAGCCTCTCTTAACATCATTTAGAAGTTTGTTTTTTGCTCTTCCTTCCCCCATTCATGTCTTTCTGGTTCTGTCGGGAATAGCGTAATTTGGAGTGGGATGCTTTTTCTTTCCCTTTTGGTTTGTATAAGTGGTCTGCGGGCTTATTTTATTCCAGATGTTTCTCCCCAACCTGCCTTTTGAAAGAAACCCAGAATTATTTTTAAACAGAATTTGGAGGCTTCCAAATACAACAAATATTCAAATTGCCTATGGGTTCCTACGTTACAAGTCCTTGCTTGGTGGTGGAGAGAACAGAGGCCATGGAGCCAATGGCTCTGGGGACCCAGGAGGCCTCGGAGGCTTGCTGCGTGGGCCTGAACGGCCTTCTCTTGCTTTCTCTTCTCTGCTTCCTGGACATTAACCCAAGTGACCTCTGGCTGCCCCTGAGATGCCCACCTGAGGAACCCACTTCTATCCCGGGAAACACACTGCTTACTGCTTCTGCTGAATTTTGCCAGCACCAATTTCCCTCCAGAAGCTAACCTGACAGAGAGATTCCTGTTAAGATAACACCACAGCACTTCATATATTACCTCCTCTCCCACTTCATACATTACCAGGGCCCATAATGCCTTGAGCCAGTAGTTCTCAACTTTGGCCACATATTAGAATCATCCAAAGAACTTATTCAGATATGAATGTTTGCGTCCCACCCACCCAGATCTGAGGGTTAATGCCCTGGAAACTGGATTTTAAAAAATAGTTTCTACTTTTAATTATAAAGGTAACCTGTATTCATAGTTCTTGTTATTGTGGTTAAGGTAAACATTACAGAAATGTTTTAAGCAAAAAAGCAAAAATACCCTCTCCCTTCCTCCTTGTTATTCCAATCTTACGCTTCAGGAGCAAACACTGTTAATGGTTTCATGTGTCTCTTTTCAGAAGTTGTGTATTTTGCTAAATCATGTATGTGTATTTTTTATACCCATGTGATCGCATGATCTCACTTGCTTTTTTGCATCCCCAGTGAACCTTGGAGAACTTTCCACATCACTACAAACTGAGTGAGCTCATTCTCCCTGAAGCATACATCACTTTGCTGTTTGTGCCACCCTCAGCTCTCCGGTTGACTATGAAGCTCAGGCTGCTGGGGAGGATTGGCTGGAGAGGTGGCCCCTCCAGAGGGGAAGGTGGTCAGTGCTTTCTAACATCTCTTGTAACTTCCAGAATGTATTCTGGGGAAAGAAAGCTTTTCCCTAAATTGTACTCAGAGTGTAGGCTGATTGTGTGAAAATGCCTCGATAGAGACTTTAGGTCTTCTGTTGAATTTCCTCAGTATCCCTTTTCCCTAGGGACTAATAGGAATGATCGTCTGTAAGCTAACACCACAGCACTAAGATAACACCACAGCCTATCACTCCTCCCAGGTGATACATGTATGACAGCCTGTGTGAATTGCAGAAAAACACATACTTTGAAGTAGAACTTCAAGTACATCCTGGCTCTCAAATGTTTTATTTATTTAAGTACAGGCCTCAGGAACACTCTAGAGGACCTCGGGAGGAGAGGTTTGCCTAGATAGCTCCCAAGTAGAAACATAGGAAAGAGTGGGCACATCTCAGGGTGATGGTTGTGAGACGGAGACGACAAGACTGGCGTAAAACTTGCAGTTTGATTTCCTACTTAAACTAATGTCTAGTTTCCCACTGTGTAAGTGCAGTTCCCCTCTGATTTTTTGGACTGTTTTCACCATCCTTTCCCACAGGGCATGCATCAAGGTAGAGAGAAAGCCTCCCCCTAGTCTGGTTCTGTCACTGCCTTGGCATGTGATGTTTCCTAAGTCCTGTAACCTAACTGGGAACCAGTGTCCTTATCTAGGAAATGAGGCCAGTAAAATAGATGCTTTTCTTTTTCTTATAAAACCCAGGTGGGTCTGAAGGTCAGATGATTTTTAAGGTCCTTCCTGGCTTTAAAATTCTAGGTTTCATGACTATGACCACCCACAAACCATACAGAAATTTTTTTTTTTAAGCCGCAGCTGAATTTAGTTCTCTGAGAAAGAGGTGGTGGAATTGCATTACCCAGCTGGGTACTTCCTATGTAATCTGTTGTTTCCCTGACTCTTGTAGCTCTTTTCCTTCCAGAGCTTTCTGTGAGCCTGTACATTGAGAGCATCTAGCCTTGATGGCTTGAGCTTTCTTTCTTCCACGATTGCCACCACCCTGCCACTTATCTCACTAGGATATCGTCCAATTTAATGCATTGTAATAATTATGTCTTATATGTATATAAGCTTTAACAGTGCACCAAGAATGGTATTTTAGAACACACATGGGTTTTTTTTTAGCAAAACATTGCCAGAGTTTGAATTCTGCCTTGTAGCAGCTGCGAATTTGGTTGCAAACACAAACTGTTTCTGGTTAACTTCAGCAGAGAAGGAATTTAAGTGAGGAGCACATTGAATCATGGGGCTGCTGGGAGGCCTTGGCTGGGGCAAGACATAGAGGAAGACAGGCACAGTCCAGAGGCGGCCTCGAGAGCCACCAACTTGGGAGGAGCACTTGTCACTGCTGTTCACTGCCACCTCATCTAATCCCTAAATGACCATGTGCCTTGGCTTTTCTCCCTAATGGGTCAAAGCTTTAAGCAACCAGAGAGTGGGAAGCTTCCCCTTCAGCTGGGTTTCTCTAGTGGGCAATGGAATCTTCCTTCTACTTATTCTCATGTTCCTCCCAAATAAGATGTACTGTATATCCACAAGTGGACATCCAATACAAAGAAAAAGAAACTTGATGCTGACCTGACGTCGTTTACAAAGATTAACTCAGGTTAGACCATAGACCTATATAAGATTGAAAACTGCACAGCTTCTAGAAGAAAGCATAGAATAAGTATATCTAGATGCTAAGTAGCCAGAATGACCAATGTCCACCACAGGGTCCCACCACCTAGTACTCCTAGCTGTGTGACTTGGTCAGATGAGGAGGAGGACAATCCCTGTCTCCAGGCAGCTGCGTGGATCCAGCGGGAGCATGTGTAAACCCCTCAGCCTGGGCCCTGCGCTCTCTGTGCAGGGCTGTTCTCCTGAACTAACCTGGAGCGTGGACGTTCCTGAGCGTGTCCCAGCCTTCAGGTGTCCCTCTGCTAGGAGGTAAGGGTGCACTCTTGGAGGGGATCGACCATTTTGACACCTCTTGTCTTTTGCAGCTTTGATAGCCCTGAGATTCAATCCTGCTTGGGATATAGTAGGTATAGGGAGGGTATTCTCAGGCAGGGAACTGGGAGAGAAGGTTGTGTGTGGGTCCTCGTGAGACATGTCTAGGCACTCTGAAAAATATCTCAGTGAAACTTCTATGAGGAAGTGCTGGAGGCCTGTGTCAGCAGGTGGGAGGCCCTGGTGACATCTGTTCATGTGGATTCATTTGTCCCTCTGGTGCTGGGCCTGAGCAAATTTGGGATGCACATACATCCTTTCATTGGATTCTTGTTATATCCCTTTGAGGTCAGCATAGCAAGTACTATAGACTCGCTTTTTTTTTTTCCCCACAGAGGAAGAAACTGAGGCTATAGAACAAAACTTGCTGAAGGTCACTCAGGTTGGGCTGTGGGACTTGTTTTCCTGCCCCGAGCCCAGCATCCTTCCCACCATCCAACACTGTTTCCTTTCTTGGTACCTCCATTATTAGAACACCTGGATATTCTTAGCTAACAATGGATGACATAAATAAACACAGGGTCATTTCCCCACATTTCCGCACAGGTCCTCTGCAGATGGCAAAGCCCTTTCTCTAAATGCACGGCATGAAAAGGCGTTTCAAAGGTTGGAAAGAGAGCTTCAGCATTAATCATCATGGGACAGCGGAAACTGGCTTTGCAAGGGATGGACTGGGCTTCAGGGAAGATGGACAGATCGAGATCGCTGTCAGGAGATCAGTGATGGAAAGTCAGGGCTGCCATCCCAGGGCCTTGGTGGAGGGCTTCTGCTGTGCCAGGGAACAGGTGTCTGGACTTGGTCTCCCAGAGCGAGCGCTGTCTGCTGCCAGCCCTTGCAGAGACTGGACTGAAGCTCTGAGTACATGATTTGTAGGCTGGGATCCTGCCTGCCCCTGAGGCTGAGGCCAACGTGGGGGTGGTTGCCTTTAAGGCTGGTCTAGAATTGTCCATGTACTTACTGAGCCAAGGAGGAAGAACCAAAATAGATGCTGGGAGAAATCAAAGGTCAGAGGCTCAGAGAGGCAGGTCCCGTGTCAGGCTAGAAGGGGATAGTAGAATTGGGAGTGTTGGGGGAATGGTGTCAATAGTCAGTGGGGATGAGGACTAAGGGAAGAACCCTTCTCACAGGACTCCTATCCCTAGCAGAGGGTAGGTGATCAATCACTATTTGTTAAAGTAAATAATAGTTCAGCCACCAAGAACAGTCTTGTGGGGATAGGGGTGGCTCCTAAAAAGGGCTGTGGTAGGAAGGGTGGGGCAGGAAGATCGACGTGGTTGAGCCCTTCTGGGGCCCTCAAACTCCAGTGTCAAGTCTTCTGTCCTTTTGAAGCCGGTGACACCCCTGATTTTTTACTTTATCTTGAGGGGGAAGCAGGCCCCCCGCAAAGGAGGTAAATCCCCACAGATGAAGATACCTCATTGATCCTTCATTTGTCAGCCAGAAAGGGAAAGGTAGGCATTTGTCTAATTTTCTCAAATTTTAACCAGCCAACAGGTTAGAAATCATGTTTCAAATGAAGAGAGAAAAAGAAAGGAGAAAGCAAGAAACTTGAATTTGCTCAATGACTCAGAAACTTTAACCAAAACACTCAAAAATCAAGGCTGATCTAAATTGACTTGTTTAGACATTAACCTTTAGAAAAAATCTGTATACATAGAAAGAGTGTGTACATATGTGGCCTTGAAATACGTTTATGATTCATGGAAGGCGATGACTGCCTTAGCACAATGGCATGGTTCAGTTTGAAGTTCAGCAGTTCTATTTATCCATGGTGTGACCTTGATCACTTGGTCCCAGGGTCCCTCCCACCCTTGCTGGGTGAGTGCACAGAGATAGACCAACGTGCCAGTTCCAGCCCCCATTTTTGGCTCCTTGGCTCTCGAGGCACCCGATTTTCTGACTCATCGGGGCATTCGGGTTCTGATGGCTTGGTTAGTCCTCAAGGATGCCTCTTGGCTGACCGGGTTCAGTTTTCTTTAGTTCTCAGCTTTCCTTGGTTTCTTAGTTTCAATGTCATATTATCCCTTGGGATCCTGTTGGCCAGGCCTATCTCTGGAGGAGGGTTGACCTCAGCTTTCTTATTTTCTCCCTTCCTTCCCTCCTTCCATGTAAGATGAGATGGTTGGACTGGACTAACTCCAGAATCCCTTCCCGCTCTGAATTCTCCATGGTCTGATGAAGGTGGCCACTGGACATTTGGGCAGGGTCCCCTCTCTGAAACCACTGAGGAAGGCATGTGGTAACTCCCCCTGCTATGTCCATACAGCTGTTCTCCTATGAGAAGAGTCGAGATGGCTTTCTGCACAAAGTGAGAAAGCAAAAGAACCAGACAAGCCCTGGGAGAAAAAGGCAGGACAGAAAGCAGACAGCAAAGACCAACCTGCCCTCTGAGGGCATGCCCGGCACATGCAGGGCTGTTTGCAAAATGGGTTTTCATCCTGTTCTCAGGCTTACAAGCAACTCATTGTTCTCAGAAAATAGCAGCTGCTACTGGGGAGTATTCAGCCTTGGGCGTGACTACTTAGGGAAGCGAGTTTTCAGCAGAAGGCCTGGGCCTTCCTCTGACAGGAAAGGAGGAAGTCATTCTGGGCAGGGGATTCGTTTTCTATTGCTGCTGTGACAAATTACTGCAAATTTAGCGGTTTCAAACAACATAATTTATCATTGTACAGTTCTGCAGGTCAGACACAAGCCTTACTTGGCCACAAGAGTGCATTCCTTTCTGGAGATTCTAGGGGAGAATGCATTTTCTTGTCAGTTGGCAGAATTCAGTTCCACAAGGTTGTGGGACTGAGGTCCCCATTTCCTTGTTAGCTATCAATGGCAGGATCCCTTAGCCCCTTCTTGGAGGTCTCTCCCTAGTCCTTGTCTATGGACCCTGATGTCCCAGAACCAGCAGCAGCACCCCTTCTCACGCTGCCATCTCTCTACCATTCCTCTGTTTTCACCACTCTCCCTCTGACCATGAATGGGGAAGTTTCTCTACTTTTTTTGTTGTTTCGAGATAGAGTCTTGCTCTGTCACCCAGGCTGGAGTGATAGAGCAAGTGGCATGATCTCTGCTTACTGCAACCTCTGCCTCCTGGGTTCAAGCAGTTCTCCTGCCTCAGCTTCTCTAGTAGCTAGGATTACAGGCACCCACCACCACACCTGGCTAATTTTTGTATTTTAGTATAGATGGGGTTTCACCATGGTGGCCAGGCTGGTCTCGAACTTCTGACCTCAAGCAATCCATCGGCCACCTTGGCCTCCCAAAGTGCTGGGATTAAAGGCATGAGCCACTGTGCCTGGCCAGTACTTTTAAGAACTTGTGTGATTAGATTGGACCCACCTAAACAACCCCAAGTAGCCTCCCCGTCTCAAAATCTTTAACTGAGTCACATCTGCAAAAGCCCTTTTGTTAACCATGTAAGGTCACCTATTCGCTGGTTCTGGGCATTAGGAAGTGGACAGCTTTAGAAAGCCGCTAGCTTGTTGCCCACTGGCAGCTTAGGCCATGTGATTTGCTGACCCTCTGCAGATGTTACACTGAGACAGCAAACCTTTTTCAGGTGACTCATACCACCTGTGCACATCAGGAGACCGAGTCTGCCAGCTGGGCATTGTGCAAAGCAGGACTTGAATGTATCTATCTCATGCACTTTGTGGTCGAACCATCAGATGCCCTGAGTAATTAGTGTTCACATGGCTTTGTGAAATACAATTATTCAGGCTAGCTCATAAAGCGTTTTTATAAGAGCTGCCACCAATGGAACCCACTCAGCTTGCTTTTCCTGTTCCAGCTTTTCTAGGCACAGTCAGGACCCCCGATGGAACTTCATCTATTACCAGCTCCTGCATTCCCCTCCCACGACTGTGGGTGGCCCCTCTTGGCCTCTGACCGCAGACTGGGCCCTGCAGAGGCAGTGTTACCAGACCTGAGCTCTTCCTCTGCATTTGCATTTACCGTTCCCTGGCCTGCAATGCCCCATCCTTCCCACCTCTCCCAAGGGCCTAGCAGCTCCTCCTACACAGCCTTCTAGCCCCTTTCTGCTCAAAGTGCATCTGAGGACATCACCTGAGAGCTGTAGGAAAAGCAGAATCTCAGGCCCCACCCAAATTTACTAAAGCCATATCTTCTGTTTACCATGATCCCTGGAGATTCATAAGCATGTTAGTCTGCACAGCACAGAGTGAGGGAGATTCATAAGCATGTTAGTCTTTGCTGCTCCCCTTCCTCAGTAACCCTAGGCCCAGCCAAATAAACTCTTCTTCCTGCTCCCTTGTGTCCCTTTGGACTTCATTCATAACAAAGGAGTATAACTGGATGGTAAAAGGGACTTTCCTGTTATCTAGACATTTCAGCAGAGACCTCAAAGACAGAACAAAATAAATAGGTGCAAGGAGGCGCACATCTGCACTAAGTTCTGAGACCCTGCCCAGGATGAGCTCGGTGAGTGGAAAATTTCCTCTATCAGCCCTTCACCCACTTCCAGACTTGGATCGAGGCACCAGGGAGGGTTTACTTGAAGAGGGTGGGCTGAGGGCTGTGTGTTCCCACTACCCCTGTTGTCCTTCCATGGGGTGGGGCAGCAAGTGCTTCCCCCTCACCTCAAGGAAGTGAGAAGAGCTGTACCAGGAGCTCTCCCCCTACTGGTCTGAGAAGTCAGGGCTGCTGTGGCCAATAGTGGCCTGCCCCAGAGGGCAATGGGGTGAAGCTGTGTGGTTCCTGGGAACCTGATATGGGTCCCCTTCAAAAAGGGGACTCCGCAAAAGTGGGCTACCTGAAAGGGCAAAGGGACCCAACAGAGATGTGGGCCTCCGGAAAACCCTCAATGGCTGCTGCGACCCTGCCCGACAACTACACACACCCAACCTCATAATGAAAATTGTAGTTGAGGTAGGGTTGCCAGATTTTACAAATAAAAATACAAGACACTCATTTAAATTTGAATGTTAGGTAAACAACATGTATGTTTTTAGTATATGTTACGTGAAATATTTGGGACATACACTAGAACATTTTTAATTTTTATCTATTTAAATTTCAAATTTAATTGGGCATTCTGTAATATTATCTGGCAACCCTAAGTTGTGAGCTTTACAGCTGAAGTTCAAGTGGCTTCTCCAAGAAACCCAAGGAAGCACGCCAAAGAGAATTCAGCCCCAATGTCACTTCACAACCGAAGCAGTCAAGTTACATCCTTTCTGCTCCCTCATCCTGGCCCCCCCACCTCAACCCTTCTTCAGGATAGGGAGTGGGAGGGGATGGAGATGACTACCTGCATCACTTTAGGCTTCCAAGCCAGAGAGAAGATGCTTTACTTTTAAATGAACTTGAACATTTTGATTATTACCTGGGTCAGACACAGCCATACAACTACTGTTCTTATGACTTAAAGGGACCTACGATGTCCACCTAAGACATCACGTCTTGGGAAGGAAGCAGGTCCTGGAGTTGTTTGGAAAAGACAGTGGGTGAAGGAAGAGTTGCTTCAAGAGTGTGCTCAGCTGTGTAGCAGTGGTTCCCAAACTGATGGCTTGTTTGTAGAGTCGTCTTTCTCACTAGCATCTTAGCATTTGTTTGGGTCTCCAGTTCATGGCATGTGTAGTAGATGCTCAATAAATGTCTGACTGTGTTGTTTTTTTGAGACAGTGTCTCACTCAGTTGCCCAGGCTGGAGTGCAGTGGTGTGATTGATTATAGGTCACTGCAGCCTCAAACTCTTGGGCTCACGTGATCCCTCCTGCCTCAGCCTCCTGAGTAGCTGGGACTACAGGTGCATACCACCATGCCTGGCTAATTTTTATGTTTTTCTTTGTACAGACAAAAAAAAAAAAATTGGGTCTTGTTCTATTGTCCAGGCTGGTCTCCAACTCCTGGCCTTAAGTGATCCTCCCAGCTTGTCCTTCCAAAGTGTTGGGATTATAGGTATAAGCCACTGTGCCTGGCCATGTCTGAGTGTTGAATGTTGACAGCTTCAGTGAATTGACCCTCTTTTCACCTATGGGACTTATGAAGAGCGAATCTTTCTGGCATTGCATAATCCTTCCCAAGGGTACTTTAGCTGTGGCAAGCCTTGTTGTTCAAAACATGCCAGGTATGATGACACAGATCAGCTGAGCTGGACTTAGAATCTTCTCTGAGAACATTTGCAGGCACTCAATGTTCACAGCAGGGCAGATCTAGGTTTCCAGGAACCTGAGGCTTATAGGAACTGGGATTCATTCTAAGAAAAAGAACATCAAATTATGAAGACAAAATTAGGCATCGATATGAATATTAATTTAGGATAAATCACAAGAATCACAAATCCTGAAAAGCTAACAAATACTGCCTACATCACGAAATCTAGAAGCGTAACAATGTTTTTATTGGTTAACTTGGATAATCACTATAGTATGTTTTTTCTACATTTTTGGACTATATTTTTTTCCTATACTTTTTGGTCAATGTTCTTGCAGTAGTGGCCTACTACGAGGGCTCCTGTTATTGTTGTTGATGTCTATATTTTGTGATGAAATCACCAAGATTGCAAATCTTTTCTTCAACATATTCATATGATTCACTCTCCCTCATTAAATTGGGTTATTCAAACAATCATGCTGCAAATTTATCTCTTCCTTTTAATGAAGTACTACTTTGGCATTATCCGACTTTTACAATTATTCTCTCTTTTCATTTTCATTATTTATATTTTCTTAGCTATTATGATTCTTCTCAATTTCATGCTTTTGTCTATCAGATTTTTTAGGGTCTGTTGTGATAGAACAAAAGAGCTTTTGACATTTTATAACTTCTTCCAATCTTTTATCTTTCAGTTTTTGTCTGAGGCCTCTACTGGGGTGTTTTCTTCTCAACACATTTGATTTTTGTACAGTTAATAATTCTGAAATAAAGACATTCTCAAGAGCAGTTCAGATGCACTTGAGAATTGCTGAAATGTATATTTGCATAATCAAATTACTTTTTTGCCACAAAGACTGATCTATTGGTGAGTATGTGTAGGGGTTTCATTACCCTGGAGTACTTTTTCTTTGCTTTTTTCCCCTTTCTTTCCATTTCTGTGGTAATTTGGTGCACAGTTTCATCAGGAACTCTGAGACTTCATTAGGACAGGAGGATCAGATACTGTAAGGGTAATCCGTTCAGTTGGCATGATAAATCTGTGGAAGACATCATGTGAACAGTGGAATCTTCTTTCTTTGCAGAGAAAAGTGGACAAGCATCCAATTTCCAAATCAATTCTTGGGGTAAATTGGTATAACTTGTGGGAAAGCAGTTTGTCAATATGTATTGCAAGCCCTAAAAATATTTATGTCCCCTTCAAATACATGCACCTTCCTATAGTTTGAGTAATTTGATTTAGGTATATTAATCTTAAAAAAATATTAACAATATATTCCTTAAACTTTTTTTTTTTTGAGAGAGAGTCTTGCTCTGTTGCCAGGTCTGATCTCAGCTTACTGCAACCTCCGCCTCCCAGGTTCAAGCGATTCTCCTGCCTCAGCCTCCTGAGTAGCTGGGACTACAGGCATCACCATGCACAGCTAATTTTTTTTTGTATTTTTAGTAGAGACAGGGTTTCATCATTGTTGGCCAGACTGGTTTTGAACTCCTGACCTCAAGTGATCTGCCCACCTTGGCCTCCCAAAGTGCTAGGATTACAGGCGTGAGCCAACATGCCCAGCTTCTTAAGATATTTTTGGAATAAGTTGCTCCAACAATATATGATTGATTGGTCATTTAATTGGAAAACATCAACTTGACAAATATTTTTACTATTGAAGTTTATAGAAGGTTTGTTATATGTTAGAAAATGGCTCTTGCATCACATTACATAAAACGAAAGCAAAATACAATATTGTATATACATTTTGATCTCAGCTAGGTTAATACTAAACCCCATGCTCAGAAAAAATCCTGGAATATACTTATTTTAAAATGTGCACTCTCTATGTAAGTATACTATATATATATAAAACACCTTCCCAGGTCAACAAATATAGATTGTGATATCATTTTTAATAGTTGTATAGTATTTTACTGTATGCATGAGCAAAACTCTTTCTGATCTTCTAAGACATTCAGACACCTTCAAATATTTTTCTGTTTTAAGGACACCACAGTGAACCATCTTGTACATTAATCTTTTTCCAATTATTTCCTCCGGATAAATTCCTAGAAGTGAAATTGCTAGATCAAAAGCATTTTTATGACTTTTGAAACCTATTGCCAAATGACCTTCCAAAGAGACTATAAATTTATGCTCCCACCAGCAGCATAGGAGTGCATGGCTTTTCTCTGGTGCCTTTGCCAACACTGACTCTTCAACTTGCTTTAAAATGAAGGAAATAACAAGAAAATATGCCTGCAATGGATTTGAAACTTATTAAATGCATGAAAGTTTTTATTACACAATCCTGGCTTGCTATAAAAATGTTGCTAGGAGTTAACATCCATTACATAGTTACCATGTCCCAGGCAATGTGTGACATGAGTTAATTCTCATAGTGCTACAGATAACTCTATGTGGTGGGGGCCATTATCCATCAATTTCACATGTGCGGAAATGAGGCACAGGGGTGCTAAAGGTAACACAGTCCAAGGTAATGAGGGAATGAGCTAAGATTTCAACCCAAGCCACAGCCTACATCAAACTGTACAGCTTCTCTCAGTCCCTGCTGAGATGTTCCTAAGCATACAGTGAACCTTTCAGCTCAGGATGCACCATGGCACTGGAAATTCCTCTAGTCCATATTTGAGGATGAGTCTTAGTTTCGGCAGAGGCCCCAGAGACAACTATTTAGAAGATGCCAAGACTCTACCTACTAGTGTGAGGTAGGCCACCTGCACAGGACCTTCCAGGAAGGTGTAAACCTGGCCTGCCAGCTCTAGCTCACTGGTCACTCAGGCTGAAGAGTCATGAGAAAAGGGTTATTTGGGAGAGAGCTGAGTGTTATGATGTGCCTGCCATTCTTGGGTCAGGTGACTGTTTCCTCCTGGTTTGCCTGGGGCTGTCCTGGCTTTAGCAATGAAAGTCTTGCATCCTGGGAAACCCCTTAGTCCTGGGCAAATTGGGTCAGCTGAGCACCATATTTCTGGGGGAAGGTTCTGGCACTTCCTTCCCACCTCAAGACAGGTGTGAGGGGCTTTGAGGGAGCCATGGGCCTGGAACTGAGCTAACATCCATGCATCAGACACCCAAAGGACACATGTCAGGTCACACTGCTATGCTTGCCTTCCTCCCTTCTCCCTCTGGGTCTGGCTTCAGATGGTCTGAAACCCGTTTGTGAGAATGGGGGCTGGAAGTAGAGCCAGGAGAGAGAAGAAACTAGCAACACAGACCCCTGCTGCTCCTCAGGCTGCCTCTAAGCCTGAAGCAAGCCTCACTCAGATTGTGGGAGGAGACTGAAATTAACAACATTTAAAGTTTGATGTTATGCTGGCTTGGACATTTTAGTCACAGAAATGAGACTTGAAAGGGCCAAGAAGCATTGTGGGAGCTGCCAGGGACTTCCCCCGGGGATGGGGAGGAATGATCACAGAGGGCAGGAGAAGGCCAAAGCTGCTTATGAGCCAATGCTGCGGAGGGTGACCCTCTCAGCAACCGGGCTGCTTGGAGTGGCCACTATGGGCCCCACCCGGGCCTTGCCACCTCCACCCAGCCAGGGGTGGAACCACAGCTGCTGCCCTTCTACTGCCTAAGGGGCAGGGGTGGGAAGTAAGAACTCAGGGTTCCCTCACCTGCCCCCTGCCCATCAGGCTGTGGCAGGAGCCTTTCCCCACCCCAGATGCTGCCTCCTCAAATGGGGCATCCCAGCTCTCCAAACTGCTGGAGCCTGTCCTCCTCCTAAGCAACCACAATGATAAATGACAGCCTGTTGATACATGTGAGACACCAAAATAGGTCCTTAATAGACACTGTCTTCTTTTGTCCTTTTAATTTACCAGTGAGGTATTGTTACCATCCTCATTTCTCAGAGGTGCAGAGAGGTTAAGAAACTTGCCTAGCTATTAGGTAGCAGAGTGGACTTGAAATCAGTTCTGTCTCCATCCAAAGCACATGTTCAGTTCACAATTCTGCACAGCTTCCTAGCTGTCATGTAGCCTAACCTCCCAGCTCCCCACCAGGCACCTAGGAGGGACAGCTTCACACCAGGACTTTGGTGGGATAGCTGCGTTTCCATTATTCCTACTTGAAACTTGGAATGTGTTTTCTCGTGGAAACAATATGATGAAGGGTTCCGTCCACTGCACAGTGGTTACTTATTGGTTAAGTCGCCCTTTGTGACTTAGCCTGGGGTTCTGACCACACTCGATCATGTGATTTCCCAGGAAGAAAACACATCCTGGGTTCTAAATAGCAAATTCCAAACACACTGTTAGGACACAGCTTATTTGTGAGTTAGGGAATGTCTGCCTGTAAATGATTTTAATTTGTGTGACAAGAAAAATATACTGGGCTCTTTCATTATGCTACTTGGGTTGTTGGTTTAGAATAACACAGAATTGAGGCTGCCCCGCAGTTTGTCCTTCTGCAAGGGTGTCATCTATTTGAATTATTCAGTGTCTTCAAAAAGTTTGTGGCTAAGTGTATGGTACTGAAGAAGCGTGTGGTTTAGCGAGTGAATTAGGAGTCAGGAGATGTGGGTCTAGCCCTTAACCAGCTGTGGGACTTTGGGTGAGTCACTTTACCTCTCAGGGCAGCTGCTTCTCAATCTGTACAATAAGGAGGTGACTCTCAAGAATCCCCAAGTTCCCTTGCAGTCCCCAGATCCCACAAAGAACAAATAGCCTCAGGTGTGAACTGCAAATGAGAGGTCTGCTCAGAAATCAGATTTCTTTCTTTTGCTTCCCTTTGTAATTTTTCAAGAAAAATTCTTTGGCATTGGTGTTCTTGGACTATGGCAGATGAAAAAAAGAGAAAGTCGGGTTCTTTGGGGTTAAATGGAGCATTTAATGAAGGTTAAGCAAAAAGATGTGTGCTGGGCCTTTTTCTCACATTGGATATTTGGCTAATCCATCAGTGGATCCTGGCATCCGAGTGACAACCTGCATTGAAAAGGCGGAACTTGGCTCTCCTGCCCTGCCAGCTGTAAGAGCTTGAAAGCGAAGCTATGGGGGGAATGTCTTTCATTTCCCCCTGGAAGCTGGGAGGACGTTCAGCTTAGCATTGCCAACTGTGTAATGTGGGCTTGCCTCTAAAAGAAGCCTTTTTCCTTGGACGTCTTTCAGGCCGCAGTATTCCCTTTGGCACCCCCACCCACTTGGAACAAAGCCTGATGTAAAGTCTGGGTGCAACTCAGACCGGCCTGGGAAAGAATTTATTTAATAAATGGTGGAAAGTGGCTTTCTTACTGTGTCTTCAGCGGCTTTTTTGTAAAGCATTTGGTTCGTCTGCTCGTCGGCTTTTGCCCCATCTCCTTCCACAAAGATGGCTTATAGCAAGGATACCGACATCAAAACGATGCTGGGAAAACAAAGAAGTAGAGGTTTAGGCCTGAGAAAACTAGGAGTAGAGAATCAAGATTAGATAAAGAGGAGCATAGATGTGTAGTTTAGGAAGGCCAAGTAGTTGTTACAGCTGAAATTCAAATTCAGTTAGCTAAAATGTTTCTAGTGTCCAAGGCAGAATGGCCCACACAGTTGCATAATGCTTAGTATTAAGGAGAAGGAAAAGATTCCACTTATTCAGAGGAATGTTATCTTGCTTTATTCCTTTAATAAGTATCTATTAAAGGTCCACCATATGCCAAGCACCGTGCCAGGTAATCAAAGATGAAAGCGCTGCACTCAGCCCCCAGGAACTCAGTGTCTAAAGGGGACTGGGTGAAGGAACTATATTTGTGTGCCTGCTATGTGTCAGATACTACTCATTTAGTTATGCAGTTTCTGTACATTACACACTATGCATTTAATTATGTACCTGCTGTATATTAGACACCATGCATTTTCATTTAACCCTCATAAGCACTCATGGCAAGTAGACGTTGTTACCTCTTTTTTACAGAAAAGAAAACGGAGTCTCTTCCCACAGCTGGTAAGTATCAAAGTTAGGATTCAAATCAAGGCCATTCTCTCTTTTATATGGTGCTAGACTGTTGCATTATTTATTTTCTAACTTGCATTATTTATTTTCCCTTCTCTTTCTTTTTTTCTTTTCCTTTTCAGAAACAGCGTCTTGCTCTGTTGCCTAGGCTGGAGTGTAATGGAAGGATCATAACTCACCACAGCCTTGACCTCTTGTGCTCAGTGATCTGCCCACCTATCCCCTCCTAGGTATCTGGGATACTGGTGTGTGCCACTGCACCCGGCTTATTTTTTAAAATTTTTTGTAGAAATGGGGTCTTGCTGTGTTGCTCAGGCTGGTCTCAAACTCCTGGCCTGAAACGATCCCCCCAGCATGGCCTCCCAAAGTGTGGGGATTATAGGCTCGAGCCACCACAGCTGGCCCCCTGTTCCCTTTCTAACTGAACTTCAGCTTTGTTTAATTATTTACCACTCCTCAAAATAGATAACATGGGCCAAGGGCCAATCACCCTATTTCTAACTCTTGTGGGCAGGATGAGAAGATTGATTAGCCAATCACAATAATCCCCTGTGCTTGGTTTAAGAATCTGGCTTAAACCAATGACGTGACATTCTCCTGGTGGATTGTCTTAGGTCTAGGATGACATAAGCAGGCACAATAAGACTGAAGGAATGGTCATCAATTCCATGTTTTGATGAAAGTCTTTTCTATCTCTCTTGCTGGAAATAAACGAGTAGGTATGTTGCTGCTGGCAGCCCTTCTGTGACTCTGGAGGAAGCAGACTTTTCTGATACCAACTGTTCTGACACCAACTGGTGTACTGTAATATGAGCCCCCAAATGCAAATACAAATACCCAGAGTTAGTGCAGACTCCACACATTAAAGGGCACAGTCCCCCTCTCATTTCAAATGCCAGCCACAAGGTGGGATCTCAGACCACCAGCATTTCTGACCAGCTGGCTACAAATCTGGGTGTTTCCACAATCCTGCTCAGGTTCAGTCATTCACTAGAATGACTCACAGAACTCAGGAAAGCCTACATGATTACAGTTTATTATAAAGAATATCAATCTGGAGCACAGGTCAAGGTCTAAGAGCTTCTAGAATGCAGGGCTTCTGGGCCCTCTCCCCATGGAACCGGGGCATATCACTCTCCCACTGCATCAGCATGTTCATTAACCAGGAGCTCCACAGAGCTTCAACATCCAGAGTTTTTATTAGAGTGCCATTCCATTGGCATTACTGGGCACTGGCCATGGGATTGAACTCAATCTCCAGCTCCTCTCCCTTCCTTGGAGGTAGGGTTGGCTCAAAACCCCAACCCTCTAATTATGCGGTTGATCTTTCTGGTGATAGTCTTAATCCTGAACCATCTCAGCATAAATTCAGGTGTAATGCATGGAGCTCATGAGTAACAAAGACACTCCTATCCTTAGGAAATTCCAAAGATTTTAAGAAGCTCTGTGCCAAGAACCTGGGACAGAACCAGACAAATTCTTTATTATACAATCTCGACCTTCAGACAAAGCTGAAGGTTATGGAGAAAATACTGATAGAACAGAAAAGAAGCAAAGCCAGAGCCCACACTGCTCTGCATTCTCTGAAATACGAGCTAGTACTATCGTCACTATTTATGCCAGTTTGGGTTGGGTTTCTGTCACTTGTAGCTAATTGATTTTACATTGATTATTATACCTTGAACTGTAAGAAACAGAAAACCCAACAAAAAATAACTTAATTAGAGCTTCTATTATTCCGTGAAATGAAAGTCTGGTGGTAAAACCGTTCTAGAGTTTTCGTTTTTTCACTCAGGGCTGGGACAAGGCTAGCTCAAAATTTCAAGAGTCCAAAAACATGCAATGAGCAAGAAAAATAATATGTATGGCAAGATTTTAAAAATGAAAATTAATGCAAAATTGACAGTGAATCAAAAATCAAAGTTTTAAGTAAAGACAATCAGCATTACTGATTTTTCTTTTGCATTGGCCTTTAATATCGCTCAGCATGGCTCTGTTACTAATCCTGTCTTTATTTAAAATTTTGACATTTTCTCAAAATTTTGGATATTTGCATTATTTTTATCTTTAAAACTGTTCATCCTAGGCCAGGCATGGTAGTTTACACCTATAATCTGAGCACTTTGGGAGGCTATGGTGGGAGGATTGCTTGAGGTCAGGAGTTCAAGACCAGCCGGGTCATCATAGGGAGACCCTCTACAAAAAAGATACAGATTAGCCAGGTGTGATGGTGTACTCCCAGCAACTAAGGAGGCCAAGGTGGGAGGATTTCTGGAGCCCAGAAGTTCGAATCTGCAGTGAACTATGATTGCACCACTGTACTCCAGCCTGGGTGACAGAGCAAGACACTGTCTCTAAAATAAATAAATTAAAAAAAATATATAATGTATATGTATGTAATGAATATGTATATAATATATATACATATATATTGTATATATTAATATATACAATATATATGTATATATATTTACTGAGTATAGTTATAAGTGTAGATGCGAGTTACCCAACAGCTCACATAAGAGCTGGGATGTCGATTCTGCATTTCTAACAAGCTCCTGGGTGATGTTGATGCTGCTGGGCCATGGACTTGCTCCCAGCAGACTTCCCTCACTGGCCAGAATTGTACCACATGCCGTGTCTAAGCCAGTCACTGACAAGGGCTAGGGAGCACCCATGCTGGACTTAGAGCAATCATAGTCTGAGCCTGGGGAGGATGTTGCTTTCCTTGAGTACCTGGCTTTGTGGAGGCTGGACGCCTGATCAAGTTCAAGACTTTATTCCAAAGAGCACATACTATGTAAAGTTTAGAAAGAAGCTACACATCTCACTTCTCAGCCTTTGGGCTAAGATCAAATGCAAAAACAGGCCACACTAGTCTATGGCATAGAACTCAGGAGTGTTGTCACCTTTGGGGAGGTGGATGAGGGTAGTGATTGGAAGGGGGCATGAGGGCAGCTTCTGGGATGCAGTAAGTAATAAGTAAGACATCTTCAGGACGTTTTACTGAATAAGAAGCTACTTTTTTTTTTGGATACAGAGTCTCGCTCTGTTGCCCAAGTTGGAGTGCTCTTGGGCACTCTGGGCTGGGCTCTTGGCTCACTGCAAACTCTGCCTCCTGGGTTCAAGTGATTTTCCTGCCTCGGCCTCTGAGTAGTTGGGACTACAGGTATGCACCACCACACTCAGCTAATTTTCATATTTTTAGTAGAGACGGGGTTTCACCATGTTGGCCAGGATGGTCTCGATCTCTTGACCTCATAATGCCCCCGCCTTGGCCTCTCAAAGTGCTGGGATTACAGGCATAAGCCACCGTGTCCGGCCCAGAAGCTACTATTTAAAAACATTGCCAGGCAATACACTCACACATTAAAGTTCGAGAAACACAATATTATACTTCAATTTTTAAAAACTGCTTTTATAGAAAATATCGGGGTTTTGCCAGCAATTAAAGTGGGAGATTGGGTTTGGGTAGAGAAGGAACAGTGCTGACTCTGAAGCTGGTTACAGGGTTTACGAGGCAGCTTCACCAATCCCTACTCAGAGGCAGCTGTTTCTGCTGCTCTTCATCTCAACTGTTCTTCACCTGAGAGAGGTTCCAGGGAGCTGGCCTAGTGAGCAGACAAAAGGCGCATCCACCACCCACAGGCCCACATAAAACTCCTGGGTAACCCACATCTACACTCGTAACTATGGGCAGGGCCAGCTTCCTGGGAGTGCAACCCATGCAGGCAGAGTGAACTGTTTTTTGCAAAACGGGGGCTCATGCAGCACCTGGGGGCTCAAAACACAATGGATTTGGACCTGGTCACATAGGGGTAAGGACAGCCACTTTGAGTAAGAGTGAGATAGCGATTTTCTCTGAAATACGAGCCTCGTTCCTTTGAAAGTAGCAAAGGATTATCCAGACACATTGGAAAAATGGTGAGAAAATCTTGCCTCTATTGAGAAAGAATGAATGCCAGAAGCCTCCCTTAACCTGCTCCATTGCCTGTAACCAGCACTCCCTCACCTCAGCTAGAGACATTAGCTTGAAAACAAACCCCTAGTCCCCGTTTAAATAGCTCAGCAGTGAGGATGGGGATGTTCACGGAGGTGGGTTCGTGGTGCCCCATGGCGGGGAAGGGGAAATGACTTAAAATGTCCGTCAGCATAATGGTGATTTCAGCCTGATACAGTTTGGTAAGGAACATTGGTTCTGCAACAATCTTTTGTATATGGTTTGCCAGAAGGAACATAAACCAAGATTCTAAACTCCAGAAACAGGCATTTTAGGAACTGTCCATTTTATTCCTTTTGTTCTCATTTAAGATAACAATTCTGCCTCTGATTCCTGCCTGCAAGTTCAGCTCATTCAGACCCGTATTTGTGACCCCCCTCCCTTGGTGCTGAAGACCCGCTGGGGACAGCAGAATGAACCAGCTCGGAGAGGAGACCGGGAGGCAGGAGCAGGGAAGACCTGAACTTCTAAAGACTCAAGTCAGCCGGGCACGGTGGCTCATGCCTGTAATCCCAACACTTTGGGAGGCCAGGTGGGTGGATCACCTGAGGTCAGGAGTTGGAGACCAGGCTGGTGAACATGGTAAAACCCGGTGTCTGCTAAAAATACAAAAACATTTAAAAATTTTTAAAAGAATGATAGCTGGGCATGGTGGTGTGTGCCTGTAATCCCTGCTACTTGGGAGGCTGAGGGGGAATTGCTTGAACCTGGGAAGCAGAGGTTGCAGTAAGCCGAGATTGTGCCATTGCACTCCAGGCTGAGTGACAGAGTGAGACTCTGTCTAAAAAAAAAAAACAAACACTCCAGTCAATGGCAAAGTCACCCATGGGGGAACTGAGAGGGGTTCCAGGGAGCTGTGGCCTAGTGATCAGACAAAGGGCGTATCCACCACCCAGGGGCCCACATAAAAGCTCCTGGGTAACCCACATCTTCACTCGTAATTATGGGCAGGACCAGCTTCCTGGGTGCAACCCGTGCAGGCACATGGGGCCCCACAGTCACAAGAGCCCTGTCGCTGTCTCAGACTTTCTTTCTTTCTTTTTTCTTTTTCTTTTTTTGAGACAGCGTCATACTCTGTTCCCAGGCTACAGTGCAGTGGCATAATCTCGGCTCACTGCAACCTCCGCCTCCCTGGTTCAAGTGGTCCTCCCACTCAATAACTACACAAGGGGGGCCCTGCATTTTCATTTTGTACTGGACTTCCCAAATTACATAGCTGGTCCTGAATGCCAGAATGGCCAGTGAGGGGAGATGTCTTTTGCCTCCTCCCCACCCCGAGGCCCATGGTGCCCCACGAGGAATGGGATTCAACTTGTCCTGAGTCTTTTTGCCCCCAGAATGGCCTTTTTCTCCAGCTCACTGCTTAATGCCTTCACTGTCTTGTTTTCAATCCTTTCCTCGCTATGAGTACATATTGGTTTCCTACTGCAGACATAACAAAGTGCCACAACCTTGGTGGCTTAAACAGTATGAATGGACTATCTTACAGTTCTGTGGTTAGGAGTCCCACCTGGGTCTCAATGGGCTGAAATCAAAGTATCGGCCAGGTGCGGTGGCTCACGCCTGTAATCTCGGCACTTTGGGAGACTGAGGCGGGTGGATCACAAGGTCTGGAGATTGAGACCATCCTGGCCAACTTGCTGAGATTCTGTCTGTACTAAAAATACAAAAAATTAGCCATGTGTGGTGGCACACGCCTATAGTTTCAGCTACTCGGGAGGCTAAGGCAGGAGAATCACTTGAACCTGGGAGGCAGAGGTTGCTGAGATCACGCCACCGCACTCTAGCCTGGGTGACAGAGCAATACTCTGTCTCAAAAAAAAAAAAAAAAAGTATCTCCTTGAGGCTCTGAGGGGAGAATTTGTCTCCCTGTGTATTCTAGCTTCTGGAGGCCACCCACCTTCCTTGGCTTATGGCCCCTTCCTCCATCTCCAAAGCCAGCAAGGGTGGGTGGAATTCTTCCTTCCCGGCATTCCCCTGGCTTCCTTTTCTGCCTCCCTCTCCTGCTTGCAAGGATCCTGGATGATCTCCTTATTTGAAGGTCTGCTGATTAATCCCATCTTCAACCTTAATTACCCTTTGCAGTGTAAACTAACATACTCAAAGATTCTGGGAATTAAAGTAGGGACATCTTTGGAGGGGGTCACTTTTTTACCTACCTTATCTTTTTCCTTCTTTCCACAATCCAGAGTTCTAGCTTATCAGGTCCCTTGACATATTTTGTTTAAAGCTTTTTTATATTAACCTTAAAGAGAAACTGATGGAAAAGAAGGAGAGAAAAAGGGGTAGGGGGAAGAGCGGTGAAGGAAGAGGTAAAGATGTTTATAACCTCTCGATTTATGTTTTTGTGTTCAAAACTCCCTCCACTACTTCCGCCTCTATTTAGCACTATTATGTCTTACATACTTGAGATCTACAAAAATTTTAAAGTTTGAAGAAAAATGTACTTATGAGAAAGTGGTAGGAATCATACCCATTGAGCAGGTATAAGAATTGAGGTCTTAGAAAAGGGCTTTTTGGAAGGAGACTAGAAGAGCGAAATCCCCAAATAATTGCATTTCTCTCTTTTCCTCTGAATATGGAAGCTCTGCTCTGGATCTCACTAATTGCCTGCGACTCTGAAATTTCTCTAGAAAATCTTCAATCACTTCCTCCCTCCAAGGTTCTCCCTTCCTTTGAAGGGGCATGCAAAACTCCGAGTCAATGCTAACGTTCCCCTGTGGGTCCCTTACATGCATTTCTCCCCCGGCTGGGACTCGCAAACATGAGCTCTTGGGCATATTGCTGAGCGAGGATCCTGGCGTGGCAAGTGCAGCCAGCTGGTCTCGTACCCACATCTTTTCAGTAAATTTCTCTCAAGCATATGTACACACACAAATACGCCTTCTGTTGAAGGCAATGAAATAATCTTTCACCGCAGAGGCTGGAGAAAATGTGCAGAACTGTGAAATGAAAGCAGTGCTTTCAGGTCTGGTTATGGTTTTTCATGGAGTGGAGACCCTGTTGTCACCATTGCTGAGCACTCGCAGGCCGCGTGGAAGTCTGGTGGGACACGTTAGTCTCCAGTGCAGGCTCCTGGGAGAGGCATCCCACTCCAGCCTGGCTAAGGAGGCTCCACAGTCAGCCCCATCTCAGGGCTGTCTTCCTTTCTTTGTGGCACAGATCACGCTTGGAGATCACCTTATGGATCTGCTCGTGTGTTGTCCAACTCCTCACTGGAATGTAAGCCCAACCATCTGTTTTGCTTCCCGCTGTTCCCCCAGTGGACTTAGATGCTCAATCCACTTCGTCACATGCCTGGGTATGGGTAAAGTGTGTCTTTGTTCTATGCCCATGGGTCATTGCACCTGTGCATTGGGCCACCCTACCCCTCTGCCGTGGGGTTGCCTACCTGATCCAAGCTTCTGGCTCGTCCTCTTCTCCCTCTGGGGAATCTGACCTACAATACAGGGACAGGCTTTGCTAGCTAGAGGTCACTCTGCAGGAAACATGGGCTGCACCAGGTCCTGGGGAGCTGAAACAAGAGGGCAGAGGAAGCTGATTCCTGCCAGGACTGGGACAACAGCAAGGGAAGCCGAGGTTCCACGGGTCCTCTCAGGGCACTGTCTAGTGGAAGAGAAGCAATGAGCCCTTGCAGCTCAGCACCATGGTGCCCTCACAGGGCCAGCTCTGGGCTGCTGGGCACAGAAAAGCAAACTGCACTTTCCTTCTGAGGGCAGCCCGGGAAGGCTTCCAGAGGAGGGGATCTTGAGTTGAAACATGAAGAATGAGTGGGCATGCCAGGGGTGAGGAGATGAATGCAAATCCCATTACTGCTGCTGTGTCAGATCCTCTCCCTAAAAGAACTCCTCTCTCTCTTTCTCTCTCTTTGAGACAGGGTCTTGCTCTGTTGCTCAGGCTGGAGTGCAGTGGTGAGATCATAGCTTATTGCAACCTTGACCTCTTGGGCAAGCAGTTCTCCCACCTCACCCTCCAGAGGGGTTAAGACATTCGCAAGCCACCACAGCTGTCTAATTTCTATTTTTCAGTTTTTGTAGAGGCAGGGTCTTACTTTGTTGCCCAGACTGGTCTTGAACACCTGGCCTCAAGTGATCTTCCTGCCTTGGCCTCCCAAAGTGTTGAGATTACAGGGGTGAGCCACTGCACCCGGCCTTCCCAATTTCTTTCTCTGTGAAAGAGAATAAGAGTCTCCATGGTTTTGAGGGGTCACAACAATGGGAGCTCAAGTGCCTGACTCCTGGCACTTGTAGCAGGTAGCTCTTATTCCAGGTGACAAGGTGGCATACACTTCCTGTCTGCTCTCTGCCCTTCATTTCCTCCCTATTGCCTTGTCTGGGTTCAAACCCTCTTCCTTGCCCAAGCTTGCATGGCGGCTGTTGCCTGTACCAATTTCACGATTAAGACCCATGTGCCTCAGCCAGGGCTGTGCCTGGATGCCACCCAGTGTGACCCCTGACCAGTAGCCCAGGCTGCCCCTGGCTTTTTTCTTGCCTTCATCATTAGGATCTATGCATCCCCCTGGGGCTTGCAGTGACGCCCAGCACAGCTGCTGTCATGGCCTGCCAGCTCTGCCTGCCCCACCCTTTGCTGTTCAAAGCCAAGCCCCTAACCAGGCTGGGTCTGAGGAACAGGGTGGACGTAGATCAAAGGCGTGGCCATTTGAGGAGCATTCCATGATAACATCACCAGCAGCTAGGTTCTGCTGCTTTGGGGAAGTCACTCATGCTTTGTCCCACCCCTGCCACCTTCTTTCTTTTCTTTATTTTTCTCAGGGCCATGGAGAAAGGATTCATGAGCTCATGTCTCAGAAATGCTTTGAAGATGAGAAACACTGAGCATTTTCCCAACAGCCCTCAATTTACTTTTTCAGCATTCTCTCTGGGTTGTCAAGCCTTTGTAGTTATTTTTATAAATAGTAATCGCTGGCTGCTTCCATTTTTACCCAGGAAAACTCCACCTCCAGCTGGAACTGGCTGCCATCCTACAGCAAACCAGCCTTGGGGCTAGATCTGTCCCCATTTTTCTTGACCAAATCCCTTTGTACATCCCTCCCTGTGTTGCAGACCCCACCTCACTGTCTCTTGTATGCTTCCAATTCCACCCTGTCTCCCTGTCACCAAGCCACCCATCTGTCCCAATTACTCCTCTCTTCATAAACAGTCCAAGTTCTCCAACATGGCGCAGAAGGCCCTCAGTGAATTAGCCACCACTCACCTGTTTAGCCACATCCCTGGTCTTGTCCCTACCACTTCCGGGCTCAGTCATCCTGAACTACCTGTTGTTCCCTAAAATGGCAGGCCAGGTCACGCCTCCAGGCCAGGAGGGAAGACAGTCCATAGAAAACAGAGACGGAGGCCGGGTGTGGTGGCTCACACCTGTAATCCCAGCACTTTGGGAGGCCGAGGTGGGCAGATTGCCTGAGGGCAGGAGTTTGAGATCAGCCTGACCAACCTAGTGAAACCCTGTCTTTACTAGAAATACAAAAATTAGCTGGGCATGGTGGCACGTGCCTGTAATCCCAGCTACTTGGGAGGCTGAGGGAGGAGAACTGATTGAACCAGGAAGGTGGAGGTTGCAGTGAGCCACGATCATGCCACTGCACTCCAGCCTGGGTGTCAGAGGGAGACTCTGTCCCCCCGCCAAAAAAAGAAAACAGAGATGGAGTCTAGCGGTGGGTCTGCCCTAGTGTGGAGGGTAGAGTGGGCTCCTGGACCGATGCGGTTATGTTTTGTTTTGCTTTTTGGAGACATGGTCTCACTCTGTCACCCAGACTGGAGTACAGTGGCACAATCATGGCTCACTGCAGACTTAAGCTCTTGGGCTCAAGTGATCCTCTCATCTCTGCCTTTCAAGTAGCTGGGACTACAGGTGCCAGCCATCCCACTTAGCTAGTTTTGTTTTAAGAGATGGGGTCTCTCTATGCTGCCCAGGTTAGCCTGGAACTCCCGGCCTTGAGTGAGCCACCTGACTCGGGCTCCCAAAGTGCTGAGATTATAGGCTTGAGCCACCATGCCAGGCCAAATGGTGCACAGTTTTTAAATGAAATATTTAAATCATCTAAAGAGTCACGGGGAATAATGTAATGAATATAATACAATACAATGAATACAATGAATAACACAATGGCCTAATAAATGACAAGTTACCTTTATATCTATGGAACTTTTTTTTAATCCCTCCAGCTCTCCCCACCAATGAAAACTCAGGCTGGGTGCAGTGACTCATGCCTGTAATTCTAGCACTTTCAGGGGCCAGAGTGGCCGGATCACCTGAGGTTGCGAGTTCGAGACCAGCCTGACCAACATGGAGAAACCCTGTCTCTACAAAAAATACAAAAGTAGCTGGGCATGGTGGCGCATGCCTGTAATCCCAGCTACTCAGGAGGCTGAGGCAGAAGAATCGCTTGAACCTGGGAGATGGAGGTTGCAGTGAGTTGATACAGCACCACTATCCTCCAGCCTGGGCAACAAGAGCAAAACTCAAGAAAGAAAGAAAGAAAGAAAGAGAGAAAGAGAGAGAAAGAAAAAGAGAGAGAGAGAGAGAGAGAGCGAAAACCATGATCATAAGTTTGTTGTCTAATATTTCTAGGAAAGTCTTTGTGCTTTATGTGTATATATACCTGAATAATACACAGCATTGTTTTGTGTGTCCTCAGACTATGTAAATGCTGACCTACTGTACATATCCTTATGAGATTTACTCCCTGCTCAACACACTAACCCTTGCTTTCTTGCTGATACCAGTAATAATCTTTTTATTACAGTCTTAACAAGAGTCCTGCCAGTCAGTGAGGTATTAAGGATGGGAGTGGTAGAGCCGTCCAGGCTGCAGGAAGGAACATTTTGTCAGTGGCATTGTTTAGAATTGCTGGTGCATGCATGCTGGTAATAAAAACCAGACCAGCTTTCAGTGTGAGGCTGTTCTAACAAAGTACCATGTTCTGGGTGGCTTAAGCAACAGGCATTTCTTTCTCACAGTTCTGGGGGTTGGAAGTCGAGGGTCAAGGTGTTGGCAGGATTGGTTTCTCCTGAGGCCCCTCTTCTTGGCTTGTGGATGCCACTTTCTTGCTGTGTTTTCACGTGGCCTTTCCTCTGAGCCTGTGCATCCCTGGTGTCTCTGTGTGTCCAAATTTCCTCTTATAAGGACAGTGGTCACACTGGACTCGGGTGCACCCAAATGGCCTCATTTTAACTTAATCATCTTTAGAGGCCTTACCTCCAAATACAGCTCCATTTTGAGATACTGAAGGTTCAGGCTTCAACATATGAATTAGAGGGGACACAAGTCAACCCATCATAATCACCAAGCCCAGTGTCCATGGGGGTGAAATATACTCTGCTGCTGTTGGGCACCACAGAACCAAGTGGCAGGAGAGAGTAAAGAATTGAGAGCAGCAATCCACTTATCAAAGTCAGGCGCTGTCTCCATTTTTACAGATAAAGAAACAGACCGGAAGACCAGCCCCGAGCCCACCACTGCATATCTAGGAAGCCACATCAAGGGGTGCCTCAACGCCAATGCCTCAGACAAATCCAGGTCTCTGCTATCCTGGAGTGCAGCTGCTCCACCTTTTTCTTGTTCTCAACCCCCAGGCTCTGGACCTGTCTCCATCCTCAGGCCCATGTATGTGGAAATTCTGCTACCTGGGCTGCCAGCCCAAAGCTTTTGGGAGAAACTCCCCATCAGGTCTCCAGTGACAGCTGCCAGTGGGTACCAGCGTAACAGAGCATTTGTGTTCTAGGTCATCTGGCATAACTTGCTCCTTCTCCACCCCAGGGCCCTCGTCTTAGGGAGTCTGTTCTGGTGACTTCTGGAAAGGCCTGGACTCCTTTGTTCCAGGGAGTCATTAAGCAACTGCCAAGTCTTCAGTATGCTTTTCCCCAGCGCCTCATTGAGCTTCTTGGGTGTCCCAGGTCTTGGTATGTTCAGTGCGGCTTGAGTCATACCTGGCCTTCTTAGCAGTGACAAAGGTGGCTTTTAGTTAGGGAAGGAAGACAGCCTTGGGGAGAAGCCTGTCAGTATTTCAAGCCCCAGGGGATGAGAAGAACTGAGCCTTTGTTTGGAGGTGTCAACCCCCAGGACTTGCGTGCTTCTGCCCGAAAGCTTTTTCTGCTTTCTGGAGGCTGCAGCTCTATTCCTGGTTTTATTGACTGCCGATGTGCCAGGGGCTTTGTGAATATAACTGCACTGAAATTCCCAATACCCAGCAGGAAGGCATTATTATCCTCATTTTACAGATGAGAAAACAGAGATTAAACAACTTACTTAACTGTTTGAACTCCATGGGGCACAAACATGAAATGACTCTATTTTTTCTCCAGATCTTTTTAAGAGATTTATACCAAATCTCCTTTTCACAATTCCATAGCTTTTTGGTTGTTTTTAGGTATTAAAAAACCCCTATGGTCCAGTCCACTTCCTTTTCAAAGCCTCACATCTTGAATCTGATGTCATATGTACTGTGCGCGCTTCCCCCAGACCAACCTGTGGTGAGGGTGGGGTGGTCGCTCTTCATCCCTCTCCTCCCTCTTTTGGTCCCTCTCTTCCAGTGCTTGGGGACTTGGGGGAGAGGAGGGAGTGCGATGGGTAAGACTGAGCATTTGATTGCATCCTCGTCTTCGTGGGTTTTGTGGGTTCTCTGCTGCTGTTCTCAAGATGGCAGGTGTCCAAGTGCCATCTCCCAAGGGGAATGACTTTGGGCCCCTCCCTCAGCCTCTCCCTCTGACAGCTGGAGTCTCTCTTCCCAGGGTGGCCTCTTGGAGTCAGTGCTGGTAGACAGGCCAGGAAACGTGCTGCCCCATGAAACTCACGGGTAGGGCTCGGGCTTTAGCTGCCCCACTACAGACTCTGGTTCCATCCTGCCCCGTGGGTGCCCAAATTTCTTTCTTACCGACATCCACTATCTGGAAGGAAAAATTTCTTGCAGTGTGTCCCTTGACTGAGGAGGGGAGAGCCAAAATACTCCTCAATACACTGCCCCTATAAACTCCAGGGAATTTTCCCCTGGAATCCGATCTTCTGCTTACACAGTCCGAGGGGATGGTAAGGCTGGGGTGTGGTTGGGTTTGGCAGAGCTGAGGTGGGACATTTTAACCAGTTAACTGGAATGTATTCATTTTTATTGGGGTGAAATCCATATCACATGAAATTAATCATCTTAGAGCGAAAGTTCAGTGGCATTTAGCACCTTCACAAAGTTGCACAGCCACCACTTCTATCTGGTTCCGAAACATTTTAATCACCCCCGAAGAAAATTCTGCACCTATCAATCAGTTACTCCACAATTCCCCTTTCCCTGGCCCCTGGCGACCACCAATCTGCTCTCCATCTCTGTGGTTTTAGAAGTGTGTGCATTTTGACATCTTCCTTTTGGGTCTCCTTTTCCTAAGATTAGCTGGATGATTCTATCAACCATCACCAAAGGGTCCTTTTTGATATTTTTATTTCATTTTATTTTTTGTAGATACGGGGTCTCACTGTGTTCCCCAGGCTGATCTTGCCCTCCTGGGCTCAAGTGATCTTTCCATCTTGGCCTCCCAAAGTGCTGGGATTACAGGCATGAGCTACCATGTCTGGCTGACCAAAGTCTTCTAATATCCTCCATAGATCAAATATTTCTTGATAATTCAAAGTGATTGTAGTGTGTGGTGGAATTTTTAGGCAGGAACCAGCAATTACTAACTTTTAGTAACCATCTCTAAATGGCCATAATTGTATGACCTCAGAGTCACAATCTGTCAGGCAACAGGCACTTAGTGAGGATCCCTGTCTGCTGTCACAACACAGCGGTAGGTGCCACTGAAAAATGGAAAGAGACGTGCAGAGTACAGTGGAAAGTCCACCCAAAGTGGACGCCTGCCTGTCTGATACCAACTTGCTGTGCATTCTCAGACAAATTACTTAGCTTCCCTGGGCCTCCATTCTTTTCATCCTTAAGATAAGTGATGACATATTATTAATGCAAATTGTAAAACAATAAAAAAGAAAAATCAAGTCTTAGAATAGGTAACCTTTAAGTTTCCTTTGATGTTAAATTATGAGGCTTAGATCTTGCCTCTTTACCTACTATGAGGAAAACAAAACAAAGAAATGTAGAAAAAAAAATAAAAGAATCAGTACCAAGCTGTGGTGCAGTGACTTGGAGACTCTAGGGGTCCAGAGAAGGGAGGGAAGGGTATATGCCCTGTCAGGGAAGGGCTGTGAACCAAAACTGAAGGGCTAGTTTTTACAAAGGGCTCTGCGAGAAATGGACATGAGCAGGGTGTGCCAGTGCGACTGTGTGTGTGTGTGTGTGTGTCTGTGTGTGCATATGTGTGTGATTGTCTAGTGGGGAGGACTGCTTAAGATTAAAAGATGCTCAGGAAACATCTGCCAAATGCAATGTGTGAAGCTTGTTTAAATCATGATTTGAACAAACCAACTGTAAAATAGACATCTTTGGAACAATTGGGGGAATTTGAATATGGATTGCGTATTCAATGGCCATAAGGAAGTTTTGCTCATGTTGTTAGGTGTGTTAATTTGTGAACATGGGTGTGAACAACTAAATATGCCTGTTATGTAAGAAAATGTCCTTATTTTTCAGAGAGACATGCTGAAATCATTTAGCAACATTATTATGCCTGAGATTTTTTTGCCACAAAAATAAAAATAGATGAAACAAATGTGGCAGAATGGTAATCATTGTTAAAGCTAAGAGATGGGTGTTTGCGTTTTTGTTGTATGGTCTGTATGAGTCAGGATCTAACCAGGAGACAAAGACCACTGGAGTCTTCAAAACAGAAGGACTGAGAGACAGAGTGTTGGTTACACAGTGGATGGGAGATGGAGCAGCCAAACACACAACCCTGAAATTAGTGTCAGATGTGACAACCCTGGCTGGGGGGCAAGGACAGGAAGGCACTGTCGCTGGAGAGCAGGGGCTGTGGCACAGGGGCAAAGCAGAAACCACAGCAGGCCTTTTGCCAGAGGCAGGAGCCATGGCGGAACCACAGCTGCAGCAGAGACACTACCCGAGGTAGAAAGCGAGGGAAAACCTTGGCTTGTCCCATGCTCCCCGCTCCCTGTCTCTCACGAGTGCTCCCGGTTAGACAAGCCCAATCGCCAACCGAAACGAAGTCATCAGGGTCAGCGCCACACAACGCGAAGCGGAGGAGGGGAGGGGCGAGGGGAGTGGATGTGCAGCCAGAGAGGTCGGGGCCTGGGCTCTGTTCTCTCTGCGCATTTTTGCTTGTTTGTTTCATCTCCACCCTGGAGCGTAGTTTGCATATTAGCATCTCATCCCATAGGCTTGCCATGGAGGCCTCTTGCCACTTTCCAGAGAGCTCTGGACAGCAGGGCCCTTGGGGCAGAAGAACCATTATTTCTATTTTACAGCAGCTGCTGGAAGCTCAGATAACGCCTTTCTGGCAAAGAAACCAAGAACGGTTTCTGTGTCAGCTTCGCCTGCTGACAAGGACCCAGAAAGAATCCGCTGCTGTCACCGCAGAACCTTCAGCTTTGAGAAGCCATGGAGATTTGGCCTAATTCTTCACAGTGGTCCCAGCGG